TTTTATTTCAGTATAGTATGGGTAAAAAGTCAGAATTCTGACTTTAATCTCAGAATTCAGTCAGAATTCTGACTTTTTATTGTCAGAATTCAGTCAGAATTCTGAGATTAAAGTCAGAATTCTGACTTTTTTCCCATGTTAAACTGAAATAAAATTTTAAAATCTGTTAACTTTTTTTTTTTCAGTGGCCCTAATCCTCTTCCGTATAAAAGCCATCTCTGATTGATAAAAGGTTGATTTTACTGGAAACTGGTCAATCTTAAACTAAGCCAGGTCACAATTAGGCTAAGGACTGTTTTTGGCTCCAGCTGTTTCTGGTCTATCTGTGACATTTATTTATTTTTATCTCTTCCTCTCCAAAACTTTTATTTTTAAAGCCTCTTTATGCAATCCTCTGCTTTTGCTCATGTGGGTTAGATGTTTTATAACCAAGCCAGCATCACTCTAGTCCTCATTTTTTGTAATTCTTCGATTTTCTGTTGTTTGCAGCTGCATATTTTTGAGCATTTACCAAAATAATGCCAAAATAATTGAATTTCAAACTGACAGATATCTGATCTTTATTGCAGGAATCTGAGCTCTGGCAATGAGAAAACCCGTCAACAGATGCGAGAAACCAAAGGGCTAGTCGGGTCTTTGGTGAGATGCCTTAGAGGGTCCGTTGACAATGGAAAGACAGAAGAAAAGGTGAGAGCAAAGTGGGGTTTTAACGAGCAAATCCAAGCTCTGGGCCCATATTCATATGTATGTTTGTGCTAAAGGGTGCGGAGAACACAATGTGCATCTTGAGGAACCTCTCCTACCAAATCTACAATGAACTTCCACCATCTTACCAAATGCGTTTGAACAGAAAGGTTGAAACGGATAAATCGTCTGGCACTGTTGGCTGCTTTTCTCCAAACAGCAAAAAAACCAACAAGGTAAGCAGTCATCACCATTGATGATGATGTTATGGATTCGGTTCTTTTTCTTGTAGATCTGACTTATTTTATCTTCTGGCCAAAACAATGCAGGACAGCAATCGCTTGATATACCAAGAAATAACAAAGGATCCAAAAGACATGGAGTGGCTGTGGCACCCCAATATAGTGACTCTGTACCAAAGTGTGCTGCAGTCATGTGAAATTAACGCCACCACCCGAGAGGCAGCCATTGGAAGTCTGCAGAACATCACTTCTGGAGAGGGGCAGGTGGGTGACTTATCCAGCACAAATAACCGGGAAGCAAAACCCTTTTACCTCAGAATCAGGAATACTTTAATAATCCCAGAGGGAAATTGCTGCATTGCACTGAAAGTCTGTGTCTGTAATCCACAGTGGGCTGCAGAGTTAAGCAGGTTTGCTGTGGAACAGAGGAAAATTCTGCCAAAATTGATGGATCTCCTGCGGACAGACAGGAATAAGGAGCTACTTTCTCTCAGCGGCCTGTTGAGGAATTTAGCTCGTCACAGTAATGGTCAGTAACTTTTCATTTCTGTTCTGTTATTTTCTGCATTATCAATTAATTTTAATTCTTCTGGGCAATGATTAGATTTATTATTAAAGTGTAAACATGTTTATATATATATAAAAAAAATAGATGTCAGCTTAAATTGCCCATACTTTTACCTAAATAGTAAAACTGAGTCAAATGTACTTTACTCCACTTTGCAAGAAACATGATCTCTGGGACAGATTAAGATGTTTTTATGTCAGATCTGAGGTTTGTTTTTGAAGTTTAATGTTTAATGAACTTTTTTTTGCATCTCTTTTTATTATCTCAGTCTCGTCGACATTGGACCAAGTGGTAAACAAGTTGCCTACTGATGGCAAAATGAAGGACCCTTCTGCTGAAGTGGTGGTTAACCTCTGCGGTATCCTCAATAGCATGGTGATGAAAGATTTTGATGCTACCAAGAGAATCTGTGAGAACGGAGGCCTGGAGAGACTGATGGCAGTCAAAAAAACGACGGACTCAAGGTCTGGTTTGTGCCGGTTAATCCTAAATATGACACAAGTTAAAGTGACGCTGTGTAACTATCTGCCACTAGGGGCGCTAGATCTGTAATGTTGAAACTTAGTGCCTCTTAAAGGAAAAGTCTGGTCATCAGTCATTCAGAATTCAAACTTCTGAAAGTACTTTAAATATGAAAATATTACAT